GTTAATCTAAACAAAATTTATCCTTACAAGTCATCATTTCCTTATAACGGAAATGATGACTTGCAAGAAATAGAATCAAATAAAAAAAAAATAATTGATTACACACATATTTTAATATTGACTAAAAACATCAACAGACACCAAAAAACCATCAAAAACCAACAAAAAAACTATCAAAAGACACCAAAAAACTATCAAACACCAATAAAAAACCATCAAAAGACATCAAAAAGTCATAAAAAACCAACAGAAAAAACCATCAAAAGACACCAAAAAACCATCAAAAACCAACAAAAACCATCAAAAACCAACCGTAAAATAATACACTAAACAAAATAAACGATTTTTATTCCTCAAGCGATTATTCTTTTTTTTGTAATATTTCCGAATACGTCCCTGTCAATGAGATAACAGCGTCCATTTTCGTAAGAATTTGCTGAAACGGCATCGCGTTATTTATTTCTTTGTTGTAACAATGACGGGCGGCGTGTTTCGGAATTTTACCGTGGAAAGATTCGTAATTATTTGAGAAAAAAAGGTGGTTTTGTTGCACTAAATGGTGGCTTCTGTGATGTGTGTGCGTGTATATGCATGTTTTCGAGGGAGAACGGATAATTTTATTGCCTGTTGTCAATGCCGTAAGTAATTTTTTTTTAATTTCAAACAACATACTCGCCTTCCGACATTTGATCTTTTATTCTAATAATCACGGACGTGTTTTGCATAATTATTTTTACGTTGAATTGATTGTAACGTACGAGATTTCGAGTGCAAAGAAGCTTAAATCGGCAGAAAGTTGCTGATGAACATTTATTTATGAAGACAATATCTGGAATTTTGTCGGAACAAACACGGCTTTTATTCGTTGCGGTTATTCGCAATTAAATAATTTTATATGAGACTGGGGAAAATAATACACCAAACGAAATAAATAATATTTATCATAATTTCAATTACAGCTTAAGGTTATACAAACAAGTTCGTACTTTATACCTTTTAAGAAACTAATAAGTTTTAAATTTAAATCTGGTTTAACCGCAATATGCACAGTTATTTAACTGATTTTCTTTGCTGAATAATTTTTAATTCTGAATCCAATTTGTCGATTATTTTTCTAAATTTTCCCTTCTTCTCCATCATTTTTTCGATTAAGGGCTTTATTTGCAATTCGAAACGTTCCACATTCATTTGAAATCTTTTAACATCGTATAACCAAGTAATAATTCGGCTTTCTTTATCATTTATTAAGAAAATAACCTGAACTTTGTCGAAACAAACACGTCTTTTATTCATGACGGTTTGCAATCAAATATTTTTTACATCAGACTGGGGAAAATAATACACCGAACGAATTAAATTATATTTATTACAATTTCTGTTACAGCTTTAGATTATTCAATTTAGTCCTTATTTCATACATTTCAGTTGCTTCTTTTAAAGAACTAATTCGTTTTAAATGTAATTCTAATCTACGACGAAGCAGTCTAACTGCACTTGATTTGTTTTCCACATGAACCAATGCCTTCTTCATTCTTCGATACATTCGATATTGATGGTTTGACCGATCGGACCTCTATTTACCAAGTACAACTTCAAACCGTTCACGATTTTCTGGTGCAGATCGCTGAAATTATTGTTTACTTATATATTTGTTAAATGTCGCATGGTAGGCGTTTAAGGCTGTTCCGTATAAAAAAACAGGGACCTATCTAACTTTGGGACATAGGTCTCGTTGTCCCAGTTTTCCACTTGCGGTGGTGTTGGCGTTGGTTTGCTGAACCACTTTGATGGTGGTGGGTGTGGTGTAGATGGTTTGGGAAGTGCAGTCTCCAAGAGTTTCCGCTCCCTTTCCCAGGTATCCCGGTGACATTTGAAAATATGCTTTCTCAGCCTATTCTATAAAAGTCTGTGGCTGGCAACATAGGGGCAGATAACAAATTTTTCTACTGAAACAAAATTTTTTAGAACTTTAAATACTACAAAAAGTATATATAAGCTTACACATTTCTGTCGTTAATTAATTATTATGTTATATACTTGCAGGATACTTATTAATCTGTTCTTGTGTGTGATCTTTAATTTATACACTATATTAATCCCCACCCCTACTTTTTCCCCCCATTTTTATTATAGTGTAGGTTTTCTTGAGAACTCTAAAGTTGATGATTCAGTTGCTTTCCTCATGTTTCATTCTTCGCTGACTTGAATTTATTTAAATAGTTGATTACACACATATTTTTATATTGTTTATAAAAGGAATTGGATTTCAATTAAATATGGCGGAAAATTGTTGACTTAAACAAAACTAAACGGAAATGATGAAACGTGTTTCAGTTATCTATGAAGTAATTTTATTCTTAAGAAATCATGTTTCAGTGAACCCGTACTTGTCTACGTAGCAAAAATTGTAAACTTCCTGCCCTTTGACACCCTCAAGCGATAATTCTTCTTTTTCCAAATACGTCCCTGACTAATGAGATAAAAGCGTCCAATTCCGTAAGAATTTGCTGAAACAGCATCGCGTTCGCTAGCCAGAGGCGTATTTAGGTATATGTTGAATTTTATGTGAAAACACACAAAAAAAGAAACGTAAATAATTAGATGCATCCAGAGATACAGATCATTTCGACGTATGTTTCATTAAAATCGACCGTTTGTTATTCGAGAAATTTAATTTTATTCACCTAAAATGCACGGCTCTGGTTAACATGAAATTATTCATACTTTCTTGACGAACACTTGTTGGTACGTGTTTTAGCTGATCAACGCTAGCCAGAGGCGTATTTAGGAATATGTTGAATTTTATGTGAAAACACAAAAAAAATTTTTTTTTTTTCGGGTTTTTTGATTAAAACAAAAAACCATCACAAAGCATAAAAAAAAAACACCAAAAGCCATCAAAAAGCATAAAAAAAGGTTTTTAATGGTTTTCTTGATGAGTTTTGATGTGTTTTTTCCGTTTTTAAATATAAATCGGAATATTCTCCTAAGGTATGAAATTGCTGATCTAAGCAAAATTATCCTTGCAAGTCATCATTTCCTTAGAACGGAAATATTGACTTGCAAGAAATAGAATCAAATAAAAAAATAGTTGATCACACACATATTTTTATATTGTTTATAAAAAGAATTTGATTTCAATTAAATATGGCGGAAAATTGTTGACCTTCACAAAATTAAACGGAAATGATGAAACGTTGTACCTGTCTACGCAGCAAAAATTGTTAATTTAAGCAAAATTATCCTTACAAGTCATCATTTCCTTATAATTTCAATTAAATATGGCGAAAAATTGTTGATCTAAACAAAATTAAAGGGAAATTATGAAACGTGTTGCAGTTATCCCACCCCTATCTATGAAACAATTTTATTATTAAAAAATCATGTTTCAGTGAATCCGTACTTGCCTACGCAGTAAAAATTGTAAACGGCGTATTTAGGAATATGTTGAATTTTATGTGAAAACACACAAAAGAAAGAAACGTAAATAATTAGATGCATCCAGAAACACACATCATTTCGACGTGTGTTTCATTAAAATCGATCTATTTTATTCACCTAAAATACACGGCTCTGCTTAACATGAAATTATTCATGCTTTCTTGACAAACACTTCTTGTTGGTACGTGTTTTTAGCTGATCAACGCTAGCCAGAGGCGTATTTAGGAATATGTTGAATTTTATGTGAAAACACACAAAAAACGTTTTTTTGATGGTTTTTTGACCAAAACAAAAAAACTTCAAAAAGCATCAAAAAAACATCAAAAGCCATCAAAAAGCATAATAAAGGTTTTTAATGGTTTTTTGATGAGTTTTGATGTCTTTTTGTCGTTTTTAAATATAAATCGGAATAAGGGGCAATTCTGAATCATAGTTGTTAAATTTAAAGGGTGTTAAATTGCAAATTTCCATAGTAACGAGTTAAATCCGTAAATCTGATTGCCTGTTTATTTTTTTTTCAACCTTTAAATTTTAACGGGTTTGATTCAGAATTGGGCCTATCTCCTAATGTATGAAATTGCTAATCTAAGCAAAATTATTCTTGCAAGTCATCATTTCCTTAGAACGGAAATGATGATTTGCAAGAAATAAAATTAAATAAAAAAAATATTTGATTACACACATATTTTTATATTGTTTATAAAAAGAACTGGATTTCAATTAAATATGGCGGAAAATTGTTGACCTAAACAAAATTAAACGGAAATGATGAAATGTTGTACCCGTCTACGCAGCAAAATTTTTAATCTAAGCAAACTTATCCTTACAAGTCATCAATTCTTGAGAACGGAAATGATGAAATAGAATCAAGTAAAAAAATAAAATGAAATAGAATCAAGTAAAAAAAAAAGTTGACTACACACATATTTTTTTACTACGCAGTAGTTTAACCGCAATATCCCTATGCATATTTCGAAACAGTTGATTTTCTCTGAATCTAATTTCTCGATTGCTTCTCAAACTTTTCGCATCTTCTCCATCATTTTTTCGATTAAGGGCTTTATTTGTATTTCGAAACGTTCATTTGAAATCTCTTAACATCGTATAACCAAGTATGATTTCGGCTTTTTTTATCATTTATTAACAAAATAACCGAAACAAACACGTCTCGCGATGCTGAACAAAAAAGCCATAAAACACCAACAAAAAAACATCAAAAGACACCAAAAAACCATCAAAAACCAACAAAAAACCATCAAAAGACACCAAAAAACCATCGAAAACCAACAAAAACCATCAAAATACACCAAAAAGCCATAAAAAACCAACAAAAAAAAAAAACATCAAAAGACACCAAAAAAAAATATCAAAAGGCACCAAAAAACCATCAAAAACTAACCGTAAAATAATACACCAAACGAAATAAACAATTTTTATTCCTCAAGCGATTATTCTTTTTTTTGTAATATTTCCGAATACGTCCCTGTCTATTTAGATAAAAGCGTCCAGTTCCGTAAGAATTTGCTGAAACAGCATCGCGTTATTTAATTCTTTGTTGTAATAATGACGGGCGGCATGTTACGGTTTATGAATTTTACTGTGAAAAGATTTGGGAAAAAGGTGGTTTTGTTGAACTAAATTGTGGCTTCTGTGAAGTGTGCGTGTGTGTATATGAATGTTTTCGAGGGAGAACGGATAATTTTATTGCCTGTTTTCAATGTCGTAAGTAACAATTTTTTTAATTTTTAACAACACACTCGCCTTCTGACATTTGAGATTTTATTCTAATAATTACGGACAAATAAGCTTAAATCGGCAGAAAGTTGCTGATGAACATTTATTTATTAAGAAAATAACAGGAGTTTTGTCGGAGCAAACACGGCTTTTATTCGTTGCTGTTATTCGCAATTAAATAATTTTATATGAGACTGGGGAAAATAATACACCAAACGAAATAAACAATATTTATTATAATTTCAATTACAGCTTAAGACTATACAAACTAGTTCGTATTTTATACATTTTAAGAAACTAATAAATTTTAAATTTAAATCTAATTTACGACGCAGTGGTTTAACCGCAATGTGCACAGTTATTTAACTGATTTTCTTTGCTGAATAATTATCAATTCTGAATCCAATTTTTCGATTGTTTCTCTAAATTTTCCCTTCTTCTCCATCATTTTTTCGATTAAGGGCTTTATTTGCAATTCGAAACGTTCCACATTCATTTGAAATCTTTTAACATCGTATAACCAAGTATTAATTCTTTATCATTTATTAAGAAAATAACCGGAACTTTGTCGAAACAAACACGTCTGTTATTCATGACAGTTTGCAATCAAATATTTTTTAAATGAGACTGGGGAAAATAATACATCCAACGAATTAAATAATATTTATTATAATTTCTATTACAGCTTAAGATTATTCAATTTAGTTCTTATTTCATACATTTTAATTGCTTCTTTTAAATAACTAATTCGTTTTAAATGTAATTCTAATCTACGACGAAGCAGTCTAACTGCACTTGATTTGTTTTCCACATGAACCAATGCCTTCTTCATTCTTCGATAAATTCGATATTGATGGTTCGACCGATCGGACCTCTATTTACCAAGTACAATTTCAAGCCGTTCACGATCTTCTGGTTCAGATCGCTGATCACTGAGTCGGTGAATTTTTCGGTAAATCTCTGTGGAAGTATCGTTCTAGACTCTTCAAGTTCCACAAATATCTTGTCACCGTACTTTGTAGAGAGTTTACTAAAATTTTTTGTTAAGAATTTTTTATTTTGTTCTAAAGTTTTCGCACTCACAAAAGCTTGCAAGTGAGACTCTTTATTCAAGGTTGAAATGAAAGATGACATTTCTAAGTGTTAAATAATTGAATTCAAAAAACTAATTAATTCCTACAGACGAATCCATCGACTTTTATACAAGTATAAAACGGAAGTGGGGATGCGAGATTGCGTCCGAGATCCCTCCCCGACCTAAACGAAAAGAGGGGATAGATCTCGAGATGAACGAGGGCAATAAACGACCAAGGTCGAGCAACGACTAGGTCAATGATCGCCCGATGAAAAGTAATGGGGGAGCTGGACCAGCTGGCAAGGTCAGCCACGTGCACCGACAAGGTCGACAACAAATGAAAGGTCAATGACCGCTCGATGAAAAGTAATGGGGGAGCTGGACCAGTTTGACCTCATTTGACCTGGTCTAGAACCCCCACTATATAACTACTTAATAATAATAATATTTTTAATAATTTTCAAATGATGCACAATTGCATTACATCGGAAGAATATCACGTAGACATTTGTTTGATTTCAATGAGTTTATCGCCCTAAAACAGATGACTAAAATTATTCATAAGCCTCTATTGAACAAAATATTCTGAATGTTATTATTATAATTCTTATCTTATCATTATTTTATTGTTATAAAGACGAGCGTACTCTCACATTTTCCAGAAAATGGGGTAGCTTGTTCTTAATTTTATCAATAATAAATTGACTGATTCATTAATTTTTTTGAGTCACCTGTTTAAGCAAATCTATAAAATATGAATGCAATGATTAAAAGTCTGTTCATATTTTGCACATTTGCGAAAGAATTTATTCGGCAAAATTTTGAGGTGCCGTAATCAATTTTTTGGGGCTGATAAACAGATACATTTTCGTTAAAAAGTTACCATGCTTACAATAACTTCAAAACGTCAAAATTTCAAAGTATTCAGTTTTGCAATTCTTGATTAAATCATTATTTTAAGTTTACACATTCATTAATTTTTTTGAGTCACCCTGTATATGCAAATCCAAAAAATATGAATGGAATGATAAATTACTCATCATATTTTCTACATTTTAGATAGGATTTATTCGGCAAAATTTTGTGGCGACGTCATCAATTTTTTGGAGCGGACAAGTAAATATATTTTGAATAAAAACTTATCATGCTTATCGTAACTGTAAACCATCTGCAAGATTCCAAAGCATACGGTTTTGCAGATTTCAAATTAAACTGTCAAAATATTGTTTCCTAATTTTGATTTTTTTTCCAAAAATCTGGACGTTTCGGGTAAAATCTCAATTCGGAGTTATAAACTATATGTGTAAGACTATGTTATTTGATACAATTTAAAACCCATTTACTAATTATAATTTTAAGTGACGACCAACTGCATGATATTACTAATGTAAATACAAAATTTGACAACAATCGCAGATTATCTGTCTAATAAAAATTGGGACTGCAGACAGATGGACAGACAGACAGACGGAAAGGGGAGACCTATTTCTTCGTACTGTAGGAGTCATGAAAGGTCGGGAAAACGTCGCTTACGCTCGGGAAGTAAAAATATATAAAAGTAATTAACAAGTAATTGATAATCTTTTCGGTTGTTGAGTGATAACGCGACGATTGTCTTAGCGTTTCACATCAGGTAAAATACACAGGTAAGTATTCCCAAATTTTTGAAATCATGTTAAATTATTCAACAATCTTCAAATCATTCTAACCGCTGCACGCAGTTAACAGGAATTTCTTGTCATTATTACGACGCAAAAATGCCATTGCTTTGCAAAAACAAACAAAATTTATCTTTGGTGGAGATATGTATTTAAAGGCGAAAACACTTACATGATAGTGGCATTTATTATGTGATTTTGATCAGAGCGTCACCGTAAGTTTCTAGTGAAGGTTATACACTAATCTAAAATTCAACAACTATTTCAGATGATTCTCGTATACTTGGGTTGCTTGCTGCTCATTTTGTACTATCTGTACACAAGAAACTACGACTACTGGGAATCTAGAGGCGTCCCGTTTGAAAAACCGTTCTTCCTATTCGGCAATTTCTACAAGATTATCTCCGGGAAACAACACATTTCGCATCGTATTCGCGAAATCTACAACAATTTCAGTTCACCTTACGTTGGAATTTACATTTTTAACCAGCCGAATCTGGTCATCAGAAGTCCGGAAGTCTTGAAACGAATTTTGGTCAAAGATTTCGACAAATTCGCTAACAGAAAAGTTGCTTCGAACGAAGCTGTTGACCCTATAGCGGCTCATACTCTCTTCACTTCTCAAGACCAAGTATGGAAAAATCTTCGGGCGAAAATTTCTCCGGTTTTTACTTCCGGAAAAATGAAGTTGATGTTGCCTTTGATGAAAGCGTGTGCTTCCGATTTGGTTAACCACTTGGACAAACATAACGGAGAGGTGCTTGAAGTAAGAGAAACGACGAAAAGATATGCCGTTGACATTATATCGTCTTGCGCTTTTGGGATTAATGCCGAATGTTTCAAAGAGGAAAATTCTGAAATACTCACAGAGGCTACAAAATTGTTGGATTTCACTTCGTTTGTTAGAAGCTTCTCAATTTTTAGTTTCTTCTTTGTACCCAAGTTTGTCGACATCTTTAGACTGACTTTGGTGGATAAATCTGCATCTGACTATTTGGTTAATGTCTTCAGAACCACGTTTAAAGAGCGTCAAAAGAGAAATATAGTGCGCAACGATTTAATCGATTTGCTTAACAATTTGAAGCAGAACGAGACTTTCAACGACAGCTACAAATTCGACGATGTCAAAATGGCGTCTCAAGCTATATCGTTTTTCACAGCGGGAAACGACACGACGTCTGTGACAGTAGCTTTTATTTTATACGAGTTAGCTTTGCAGCCGAAGATTCAAGATCGGCTTAGACGGGAAATCAGAGAAGCTTTCGAAAAGTATGGGGACTTTACGTATGAAGCTATTAATGAAATGAAATATTTGGACATGGTGTTCAATGGTAAATAAGTACTTACATCGCACCTACTGTGATAAAATTTGATTTTTAGAAACTCTGCGCAAATATCCACTAACCACCTTTTTGAACCGAAAATCTGCCACTAAGTACACTTTTGAAGAAACTGGGTTCACCGTGGATGAAGGCGTTGCAATAATAGTTCCAGTGGCGGCGCTACATTACGATCCAAAATATTTTCCAAACCCCGAAAATTTTGATCCTGAGAGGTTCAGTGACGAAAACAAACATAAAATAGTGCCATATACGTATCTACCTTTTGGGGACGGTCCACGAAATTGTCTTGGTACGTCTGTACACATAGATGAGTAAAGTCGCTAATTTTGCTATTGTAGGTCAAAGATTTGGGACTCTTGTGGGAAAAGTAGCTTTATCATATTGTTTGAAAGATTTCGCTTTCGAAAAAGCAGAAGCCACATCTGTGCCTTTGCAATTTGAACCACGTACTCTCTTTATGGTAAATAAGAAGGGCCTATACCTGAGGGCAGTTAAACTCTGAAGATATTTTTATCAATGTCGAAACGCAGTCTTATTTTTGTTTAGTTTGTTCTTTTTATATTTTTGAAATGTAACTTTTTTAATTTTTAATAAAATAAGATTGATATTTGTAGTTTGATTTTTTAGCTTGATATCCGTCAGCTTAAACAACATTTAAATTCGTGGGGCAACGTTAGGTTAATTTAACTGCCGTAAATGAACTATTAACTAGCAATCTTGTGTGAAGAATAAGAAGTGTTATAATGTACCACTTAAATATTAGCATCCAGAAACCTCGTTCATAATTAGATGAAGAAAGAACGCGTCCTAACTAAGTGAATTTCATGAAATCTCCTAGCAAGTATTTATCTAAACAAATTCCTGATTGTTAAATTGTGTTAGAACTAGTGAACGATCAAAGTCCTAACCTGA